ATATAATCTTTTATAATATATGTGCTTATTTATATTTAAAACCCAATTCAATTGTTTCTATTTTCGGGGTAACTTCTGGAACGAGAGAGCAGATTTCGATGTGGTATCAATTGAACGGTGGAGTGTTGTGTCAGGCTTCACTTGGGATACTTTCAATCAAATTAATGATTTCTCTTATATAAATTATTTTTATACAAATGTGTCCAATACGAGTATTGCGTAGCATCTCTACATGATCGCTACGAACCTACTCGCGTCTTCAGATTCAGAGAAAAATCGGATTCCGGGAAATTACTAAAATGTGCAAGGCTTCTTTGCCGGCAGGCCAGGTGCTGCGATCTACCGGTCTTCCAAAAGGAAGCAGTTGAAGGTTTGCTTCAAAGAGTATCGAATTCTTGCTTCTTGTGAGAGACTCCCCGGATTTTCGGATTCTCGAAGGCGCGAAGTTTGAAATGTATCATCTTTTCTTCTTAAATACCTCATAGAATTGTCAAAGTGAATGAGCCCCAAACGTGGCACCAAATTTGAATTAATTTGCCAGCCTATGTGCCAACAGAGATTTTGTTAAAAATAGTCCTGTCCTCCCCTTCCCCGTAGAGGGAAAATTTAAGAGTACACGTTTACCATTTTTCTCAAATATCTTGAAGACAGTGAATAACTTCTGAACGTCCATGAAATTTCCTACTAAATGCATTTTGATTTGTTCCAATGGCGCAATTATGCTCAGAGTAATTGAAGGTCAAAATTGTTACTGGACGTTTTTCGGGAATATGCAACAATACATGACTTTACTGGGCATAGCAACAATGATTATAGTAGACACAGCAGGGCTGGCTTGGTGAAAGGGGGTGGGGTTGGGTTGGGTGGGAGAGGGAGGAGGTCGAGGCAGGGCAGAAACACACTGTACAGAAAAATCCATATTTGTTCCTATTTATTACATTATTATAGTTAATAAATGCTTGGAGACACAAGGTAGTTCAGCTAATAAGTAAACAAAATAATCATACAAAGATATATCATTATCCTTCTATTTTGAAGGAATTTTTTATCAGTGAAATGCAAAATTTAAAATACTAGAAAAAAATATGAAAAAAACAAAATATTTTAAGATACATTTGATATTTGTATATAAACTTTAAATGGCAAATAATTTTTAAGGTTTTAATAGTTAAATCAGTTTGTGTTATCAAGTGTGGTTGCTCTGGAGTGTTTGTCATAAATACTAGTGTGTGTTATGTTGTGTTTGTTTCTGTGTCCATGAGTTAGCAAACTATGTGAATAAATTGCGTGCCAAATTTACCTATGAATAATTTATATGTGACAATGGTGGTTGTGTGTGTGTGTGCTGTTCCAGTCCTGAATTGACCAAAACCTATTTCTTTCCACAATTTGGGAGTAATTTTGGTTTTGTGGTCTCCCTTGTCATAACCATTACTATTACCTCATTTCACACTACTTCATAAGTATATTATAGTTGTATGATCAATTTATCGCCAGTTGTGTCTGGAATAGTACTGATTGTGTTTCTTTTCAGACTCCTGGTTTACTTGTTCGACCTGAACGTGTACATTTAGCATGCAGCCGTTACAGCCAAGAAGGAATGGTATCAAGTTTAGAAGGTTTAGTGGAAGCTACAAAATCTTTATCTCATATTGATCCTTCTAATATTTACTTGCATTTACTGAAGACCTATTGTGAGTATTTGTTGGGGATGTTTCATTGTTATTTTTGTTTCTTGTATTTTTGGAAGTACTCGTATTTTGTAAGCTTGTAGAGTAATGTAATTTTACATTGAATTTGAAGACTATTCATGTAAAAAGTCATACCCTTATGTTATTGCTGTTTTTATATTTGCCCATTGCTGCTTTTTTCTCAAATATTTAAGTTCTGCCATTTGTCAGAATCCATTTAAATATGTTTACATTGGGCTAATCACAACACTTCGTTTTATATTTAAGGAAATTTATTAAAAATACTTATTTTTATATTAACAACACCCTAAACAAGTTGTAGATTTTGTGGTGAAGAAAGAGAAACAATAATTTTGTCGAAATACTAACCTAGTCCTGTGTGTATTTAATAAATGACTCGCGAATTTTTATCTTATTTCTTAAATGAGAGTCCCTTCCAGGTGGATTGGCGCATATTCTGACGGGGGATGAAGAGAAGGCTGTCATATATTCATGATCACGCATGTGTTTGCCGTGCATGGAGTCTAGTGCGGAGACTCTAGCTAGGAGGGAATTGGTGATCTGGGAGTTGAGGGACTGTTCATATTAATACTTCATTTAATTCTTTAATACTACATTTTAATACTTAATCGCATATCGTCTTGACGTTTGAATCTTAAAGGTATTATCCGAATATCTGTCTACTTGACAGCTAAGGTGGGGGTAGAGCACTGACTCGAGCGGCGGATAAGTGGTCGTTCTTGCATCAGATCACAACAATAGCAAGAAACTAACTACAATAAGAGAACACAACAGTAGACAACACAGAATCGCACACATGATCCATAACCAAAGAAGTAATGGCGCTCTTCAACTTACTTGGCTTCGCGCTATGAGATATCATTTGCCGGAGCAGTACCCTTACAAACGGGCCACAGACCACGCGTGATCTTTCCTACCTTCTCCTATCCTCACTCCTTACACTCACTTATACTAACATTCACTACACTACCACTCATGCAAGGAGACAGGTCTGGAGCTCAGAGCTTGTTCTGGCTGGGGCGGTATCAACATCGCACATAATTTTTTTTCTTTTTAATTTATTTTACTTATGTCAAAAACAGTTAATAACTGTGTGTGACGTGCTATGGGGAGAAGTTAATTTGAAGTTACATTGATGTCCAGAATCAAAACAAGGGATTATATCAGCATTTGCTCGAGGATCAGGGAAACTGAGGAAAACCTGATCGAGATGGGGGTCATTGACCCAATAGCTGAAGTACAATACTTGTTACAAGTTCTTTAGAATTATACTATCTAAATGCTAAATAATACACTAAATGTCCTGGTTAAAATTAATATTACTTTCCTTTTGAATGCTTGGTGTAGTCTCGAATTGTATAGAAACAGTTGTGCAGCAGAAAAGTTTTTAATTAGGACTTAAATTTTGTATCAAATTTAATCATTTAATGTCATCTGGCAAGGTGGTGTAAAATAATGTTCATGTATTGTATGTGAATATTTTGTAGTGTGTTGTTGTTAGAGACCTCACCATTTGCTGAAAATACATTCCCACCCTTAAGTAAGTCAATTGACAAAAATTACTGATTCATATATCAAGGGGCAAGGTAATTGTAAAATGTCTAGATTAATAAAAAGAGGCATACAAGAATCACGTGGGTGGGATTTGCTTATTCGTACAATTCTGTTTTGTAATATAAAAGTCTGAATTATATTGCATTTGAGAATGGTTTATAATTCCCTCCTCTAAGGTTCTGTTGATACTGTCAGTGGTTTGTTGTTTTCTTCAATTTGAAACCTTAGGTATTTCATCAGCTTTGCTTATTTCAATTGAAACTGAAAAATCATATGTTAAACATTCACTAAATAATAGCATTGTTAATAGTTTAATTACCTCTGGCAGCTGGCTAACCTACTTTTGCTCTTGCTCTTTTCCTGCTGCTCTTGCTCATTCAGTTATTGCATTTTTGCCATTTATTATAATGAGTGGTATGTCATTTTGTGAAATGTTAGTTGTTATTTTTTGCAGGTCAGAAAAATGATTCTGAAAATGCTTTGGGACTTTGGGTGAAAATGCAAGAAGAAAACTTGCAGCCTACAGATGAATTTCTTCGTTTCCTTGGCAATTTTCTGAAGGAACAAGGTTTACCAGTTCCTTTTGTCTTGCCAGAAGTACCCATCCAGAGCACAAATGAAAATAAAGTAATTGAGAACTTTACAACTGCTTTGCAAGAAAGCAATTATTCAAAAGCATTGGAAATTTTGGAAAGGTTAATTTATTTTTATGACGTTTATAAAACATCATTTATTTGATAATTAGTGAAATGGTAATTATAAATCTTAAAACTTTCAGCATGGAGGAGAAGTTAAAATGTCAGGTTTCCCAAGAAAAGTTATCATCTTTACTGAAATATTTGTCTTCATCTGGGCAAAGGGAAGAAGTATCAAAGTTGTTGTTGCTTATGTTGCAATTAAACAAGCAACCAGCAACACAAATATTTAAAACTGTGGTTAATCAAATAACATCTGCTGGTGATATTCACACTTTAAATCTTATTAATGAGTATCTTGATGAAGTATGTATTATCAAATTTAATTTTATACATAATTATAGAGTTAAAACAATATTCAGAAAACTCCTATTGTTTTTCAAAAGTGTTAGATGTACTCCAGTATAGAAATATAATACTTTGTTTTTAGTCTGCAAAGAAGACCATTGCCTATGATAATAATGTGTGTCGTGCACATGAGATTGCTGGTGCAGCATCTGAATATCTCCACACTTTAGATAATGAAGTAACTAATGCAGGTCCCAGTGATGTAGAGGCATTAGCTGGAAAATTTCCAAAAAGTGCAATGTTGGTCTTATTGAAAAATCATCCAGAGTTACACTCACATTGTGAGTATTATTAACATTTTCTTTGTTATTTTCTAATAATATGGAGGGAGATGTGATGATGTAGAAAAAATAGTAAATCTTAGTTTTTCTTGGTCTCAAATGTTTTCACACAATTGGTTCAAAATGTTTTGGAGGAGAATATTTTAACATTCTTATTCTGAAATAGCCTGTATGAAAATACTTCAAAAATGGGATTGTAATCCATTTGGACTTGTGTGCCAGGCATTCAATCATTGGTATTCAGTTGCAGATAAAATGTAGATAAAAATTGATGAAATTTATCAATTTTAATACACTTGTTTTCCTAATTCAAATAAAATAATTAACATGTTTTGTGTCAATTTGCAGATCAGATTATTTGTGAAAAATACTTCAAAAAGGGGATTATTGTTCCAATGAGTATATTATGGATTTACCATGCTTTGGAACATCAATATTCAGTTGCAGATGAAGTATGGAATAAATATCTCATCAGATTGGAAAGCGTGAAGTATGACCCTATATGTCGATTTGCATTACAACATCTTGATCTTCCATTAGCAACATATGTGGTGGAGAGATTAAAGGAATCAAACATTATAAAATCTTCTCATGGATATGCACATAGTTGTGTTGTCGACATTCTCTGTAAGTATATTTTTTTTGAGTATATTGTGTGAATGTTAATGAATAGCTTTGTTTCGTTGTGAGAAATAATTACAGTCAAATATATCTTAAGCAGTCTCTACTGGTTCCCGGGGAAAATGGCATACTCAAGGTTAGGTGACAGCTTAATCAAGGTTATGAGAATATTTGAAGAGTTACAAAATGCAGAGAAAACATGAACAAGTCTTGCCTCCACTCTATTTGCATGGAAGGGTGCTATTTACCCTAAAGTATGTTTTCACTTGAAATGAACATTAACTACAAAATACCAGATTTAAAAGCAGTTTCATGCATGCGTACGTAAACACACAGACTAGGAGCCAGCAAGAAAATCCATGTATGATAAACTCAAAAACTAAACCTGTTTGAGAAGTTAGCCAGTGTTATGAGGAACAAGGAAACCAAGGATGTCGACCTGCAGGTGTCTGTGTTGCACTGCGCAATTTTTTTAATGTTTCAAAACAAAAAAAGGCCATTGGGGAATGAGTACACAGCTAATTCTTGTTGTATATTGTTTGTTAGGTAGCCATAGCGTGAAGGAGTTGTATGCCATATTGATGTGGTGTCTCAAAGTGTACACTATATTGTATTCAAAGCTTTGGTTTTTCAATATCCTCTTGTATTATGAGCTCAAAGCTATTTTTTTGGTCTAATGGTATAAAATTCTTTTTCATTACGAGTTATGATCACATCATACTGTTGCGGCACCTCTAAGTACCCGTCATACTGGTTCAAAGAGGTCCAATGTGTCACTAGTCCATGTACATATGAATCCTACGTACAAGTATGTTGGTACGTTTTTAGGACCTTCCATGATCCATTTTGATAAATAGGTGCATTTCCATGCTGGTAAGACGTCATTAATGGCCGCCATACTAAAAAACCTAATTTTTTTAAATACTCGTGATATCAGTGGTAAGTGCTTGACAATAAGTGCATAATCTTAATATCTATAAAAAATTGAAATGAGTGGTTGATTTGCAATGTTACACATTCCACAAAATGGGAGCTGATGAGCAATGAGCTGAAATAGGATCACATTCCTTAAGAAAGAGTATGCCATCTAGAGCTAGAAAGAAACAAATGAGTTGAAAAAGGAACGCATTCCAGCAATGTGTTCCCTGTTCAACTCAAATTCTCAATAGTGCAAGAAGTTGCCATGCTGGTGAGCATATTTGTAGTATAAATGCACAAGTGTAGGTTCAGGTTCATTGTCCATAAAAGGAGTGCCAAGAAGTTAATGTATGTTAAGTAACTATCTAAATTCAAGCCTGATGTAGAGGGAATAGTTTTTGACTACATGCAAAACTTCCCTTAACATTTTTCCCTGTACAAGAAATGTTTTACCTAAGACAATCCTGGTTCTACATTTTCAATGTATTCATAATTTAAAAAACAAGGCTTATTTATGTTTAATCGTAAGGGTGAGAGAAACGAAGGACCAAATGTTTCTTCAATGGTCTTCAATTTCATTACAAGTCACATTCCTGTAGAAATACAGGAGATTCATGAATTTAAGAATGCCTTCAGAGGCCAGAACCGAAAGCATACACTATGTACAATTCTGTGCACTTTTGACTATGATCATATGTTCAAGGAAGTATGTTAATACAACTCTGGTAAGTGGATATAGTTTCATGCGATGTGATCATGCCTTTGTCACCTTGATATGTGAAGTCAGGCGACATGACAGCGTTTATTCTCCTTATCAATACAAGACAATGATCAAAAGTACCAAAAAGACTGGACCTCCCTTTCAAGTAAAATTAATTCGGTGTGTCACTTTTCTAGAATTCAGTGAATGAATGTCTGGAGTATTTTATGAAAATACCAGAAACAATTGAATATAAGAAGCTATCTTTCAAAAGAAGCACACGTAGGTGCTTATCATCAGAAATATGCACAGTTGTAATGTTCAAACATCACCTTTTATTGATGGTATACTTACATACAATTTCGAATTAAGGAAACTGGATGCTGTTGTACTCCTTAAGACTAAGGCATTCCTTCTGAAAAAGTTTCCATAAAAAAGTAAAAAATTAAGATCTTCAGAATGTTACAAGTTACTTATATCTGTGATGAGTAATTCCTTTTTTATGAAAAGAAAATTTCTTGGCCAACACAAAATTATCAATATGCCCACAACGTTAATGATGATTTGAATGATGAATAATAGTTGTTGGTAAAAGATTTGGCATTTTGTATTCTGAACTTGAGCTAACAAATTCTTTCTTTGTATAAACTACCAGTTAGTTTGTAAACCCGTTCAAGGTTAATAGAACATACCTCTTAACCTAAAGAACATAAACAAATCTGATCTATATTAACAAGATATAACTAAATATAATTAGTAAAAATATTTAATACATTCTCGTGTGTGTACCTATCATACATGGATTAATGAAAAATTTGACATCTTTGAATCAGTATGATGGGTACTCAGTGATGCTGAAATGGTATGGCGTGAACATAATCGGCAATGAAATTGTTTTTTCTATCATTGGACAAAAATATCATCTTTGAACTCGTAATCAAAGTGGGCATAAAAAAATTACACTGTGAATTCTGTATTCAGAAAATTCGCGACTCCGCTGCAATATAGCCTACAACTCCTTTACACTTTGGTTATCCAATAAACAATATAGAAAAAGAATTAGCTTTGTACTCATTCCCTAATATGTTCGATATATTTAAAAATATGTAAATGTGCTAGGAGGTAAGAGAACGATCTATTGGTTCGGTTTCTTTCTTCCACCAGCCCACATGGGATTTCATTGTGTGCTAGCTGATCTGTCTACCCTTGTCCTGGCTTTTCTTCCTGGAGTGTGACATACATGACTCGGCACACATCCCGTGACACTTTGATGTAGTTGAAAGAGATGACACTTTGTAGTTCAAGAGAGAAGACCTCCCTTGAGCTATATAGTTCCATTAAAAACATTCTTAAATCATCTCTTTAGGCTACAGAAGTGCTATGAAATCTGTACAATTAACAGGAGAGCAGAGGAAAGACAGACAGTTCCTCCTCAGAGCGATTTTGCTAGTATTCACGTACTAAACAGTGTGTTAATTAAATTTCTATCAAAATAAATTGCCTCGTGGCTATCAACACAAAAATTGTACATTTTCAGTCAAGTTGTAAGTATTACAATGTGATTCTCTATGGGTACCTTTGAATAAGATGGTAAAAAGTTTCCGAAAACCAAACGACATACGAGTAGTTGAACTATGACTCTTTGAAAAGTTTCATAGACTCCTTCCCACAGCCACCACCCATCTACAGCCTAAAACAGAATTTTCATAATTTTAATTTTTTTCTCCAATTTAACATTATTTTATCTTTTTGAAAACAAATATGAATTGTAAGAAAATAATATAGAAAAAAATTTTTTTTTTTAAAAAAATCCAAAATAGTATGTTATACTGTGACCCTGATATAGGCATGAAAACATCTCAAAACTTAAAACATCAATAATTGTGAATTATTATTTATTTTTTTCAATTACTAAGATACAGTTAAACAGTAAAAAACTACTTTTACTCGTTTCCGCGTTTAAATCTCTTACAATTTTCAATATATTTTGAAAATGACTACAACAGTTCTGTAAGTTTATTTAAGGGTTTTTACTATACATTTGTATTCAGTTGTAGCAGTCAGTAATGTTTTGTCTTCATAATTTAGTTACTTTTTATCATATGCTTGTATAGTATATCATAAGCTAATGAAATATGATAGTTTTTGCCAATTCGTAAGAAGTCAGTCCGGGAATACGTGGAGGGATAAACGGGCGATGAATATATGGGGAATACTGGGTATACACCTGGATATACAAGAACAGTTTTACTGTCTCTTAGAATTCTTGTTTAGGGACGCTTAAGTGAAAATGCACCGAATTAATTTAGGCGCGAATTGGCACGAGCCGTCACTGATTTGAACGTTTTCAGAGTGACAAAAGTGTAAATAGGCGTTGTACCAGTTGCCAGGCAGAATTTCTTCAGAATAGCTCTCCCAATATTTCCCTGCTTTAACTTGTAGTAATCCAATTGCAGAATTGACTAAATTGTTAATTTTTCGTCTTCGTAAGTAGAGAAAGTATTGTAATCGTGCGCAGGAAATGGGCGATTTTTCTAATCGCCGGTCCCTGGGTACCGAAAAATTGAATAAACCTTGTTCCTGTATGTAGTAAATGATTTCCTATTCACGTGTAGTCAGAATCCATATTTTCTGACTCCTTGATACCTAACACTGGATTGACAAAACGTCCGTCTGTTGTCGACGCTAATTCAAGTATTTATTGTGTATAGGAATAATTTGAAAGTAATTAACAAGACTAAATTGTAACCACACTCACCGTGTGGCTGCCCCGACCCACCTGGTTACCTAGTTACAGGCGATCCATCGTTGCCCCGGCTCCTCAGACCGGAGACTCTTCAAAGGGAGACATGTGTGATAAGACTTATTCTTGTTCTAATACTGCATTGAAACAAGTGGTATTTTCAAAGGTGGATTTAATGTTCCCTTTGCATGAGGTGAAGCTTCTCGTTAAAATTATTCCTTAAAACTATCTTATACCTAACTTATCTTAAATTCTACCGTACGGGCCAGAGTTCATCGTTGGAAGCAGGGTAGCGTTTTTCCCAGTGGTCACGACCCCGGTTACGGGAGCGGCCCTTCGCTCTGGTGATTTTTGGCGCGGCGCTGCCTGGCGACGACGTCGGTTGCGGCGGCGTGGTGAAGTGCGATGGTCCGGCCATCGGCGGCGCGATTTGCGGCTGCGGTGGTTGCGCCTCGGCCCGTCGTCAGTCCTGGGCTCGCGATCGGGTACCCACAGTCATGACCCGTGGCGTTCGTCCTGAGTTCGCGACACCAGAGGCGCCCCACGATGTAGCGATAATGCATTCGGGCGGCGGCGATGCGGTAACGCACTCACTGGCGTCCCCCCCCCCTCGAAAGCCTAAGAAACTCGCCCTCGTCCATACCT